GAGAGGGAATGAAAATGAATTCAGCCTGGGACTTCAGATTTTTTTTTATTTTTTTTTTGATTTGCACCGGGTGTCCGAGTCTCTTCGAGCCCCGACTATTCCCGAGGGTGCACAGGCCCTTGGCAAGGAATTTCCCGTAAGTGCACCATGGTTAATTCAGGTTTTACCCAGTCCAATGGCCCTCAGAAATTGTTTGCACCCAGTGGGTTTCGAACTTGAGACCTTGAAAGGGAGCAAACCCCAAGGCTCAAGTCAATTGCCACCAGGCCAACCCTGAGGGTTTGGGACTTCAGATATTTGGAGACTAATTTCCAACAAAGCACCAAATGCACAATGACATTATGCAGCAGCATGTTCAAATTTCTAAATTTAACTTTAATGTCAGTGCTGGAATTTACCAATATACTATGCTCAGAGCAAATTTTTCTATCTTAAGCTTTGTCCTATATCTAAATGGTAACAGCATAAGCCCTCTAACATTAACATAGACTGATTCCCGCGACAATCTACAAAAAGAGGTATTAAGAAGTACAACAAGATCCAATCAGAAAATACACTAATATCTTTATCCCGAATCATTGTACAAGACACAAAGCCAAGTATTCTCAGTGCTTAGCGTACAACAAGTCAATCCAGCTTAGACAATTTGAAAGAAAAGTTTTTGATGATTTCATGAGTAGCATAGCATAATCTGAAATTGCTTAATAGGAGAGAAGAAGTTACCTCAGAATTGTAAAACCTAAGCTCCCTCTGCTGCTGAAGAGCTCCCTCTAGTTTCTCAATAGGATTAACAGGGTGCTTAAAATCAACAGGTGGTCCCTCAGTCGAACACAGAAGAAACCCAATAACACCACTGCATAATATATACAGCAGAAATCCTCAATAACCATTAAGTGAAAGCATGCTTAAAAATTCCCCTCCTACCCCCACCCCCCACCCAAACAACTAGAGAAACAATTAAATTAAAAAAATGGTAAAATTAGCTTGCAAATTTCTTGCTGTTAAATTCATGAATTACCTAGGATATGTAGGAACACTGGCCCATGCATAATGAACGGTACTAAATGTTTCATGGCAAATTGAGATCATATCCTGAATAAGATGTGTATGAAGCCACATGCTCTCTGCCATGTTGCAAAGTACACCGCCAGGTCTTAATGCCCTTGCTAACGTTGCAAAGAATGGTTTGTCCACAAGCTCTTGAGCCGGACCTGTAATGGAAGACATTGAGATCAATTAAACTAGAGCGCATTGGTTTGAATATTTCCTAATCCAAACAAGAGTAGATACTATAGAGTTGATTCATACACTGGTCAAAGACATCCAAGAGAAACAAGAAAAATCAAACAAAAGAACCACTGAACTGTCCAACAAAAGACAGTGATATCTATCCTAACATGCATAGAATTTTTCCATCCTTGCAAATCAGTGAACAATAGGCTCTATTTTCAATTTTCTAAACGGAAATTAACATGTACCTAAGCAACAAGCACTGCCCCATTTTGGTCAGGGGATAAAAGACTACAACATAGAGCTGCTAAAATTGACTCTTAAAAACGAAGGTACAGAAAAATTAAGAAGATGAAACTGACATACCAACAGGATCTGATGAATCAACTATGATAGCATCATACTTCCCTTCAGGGGTATTCCGTAGAAACTCAACAGCTGTCAAAATCATTCAGAAAAGAATCACCGTCATATACAGCTGCACTAGATATAGAACTGACAAAACGGGGAATTAAAATTTCTGGAATGAAAACAAAAAAGGCAGATATTTCTATCTCTTGTTTGTTCTGCGAGGCATTCCCATCCGTATGGAGGCAATATATTATGTGCCAGAGGAACCAAAATGTTGCTCTGGCCTTGTGCTATCTTTATCCCAGGCTTCTCAGCCTCCCAAGTATTCTCCCAAAAAACAAAAAAAACAAATGGTAAGAGTAGGAAAATATATTGGAGGTGATGCCTTCCCAAGATTCATAATACTAAGATCAAGTACATGAAGCATCCATACCATCACCAACATGAAGATTGACACGAGGATCCTCAAAGCCAATAGCCAAGTCGGGGAAAAACTTTTTACTGACCTGCAACACAAGAAAATACAATATATGGTTTTAGACAGCACTCAACAAAAACACTAACTTCATGTATGTTGCATCTGTTACTCACATCTATAACCATTTTATCAATCTCACAAATATCAATCAGCTCTACAGAGCTATGTCGAGAAATTTCCCTCAGAACTCCACCATCACCACCCCCAACAACCAGAACCTGCAATTATAGTCCAAATTGATTGGATAGAGAACAATGAATGGTAAACCTTAGAAGGGAAAGAAACGGAAGGCAATAGTAAAATAATATCAAAGATCTTTCAAGAGACACACGGTAAAATAAAGATATATAATATACGCACACTGAATGAGAAAATGATATTTTATAAATAGACTCCTCGTATCTTCATGTTTAGCTTTACATACAACAGTCAAAGAATAAAACCAAATTATTAAGATTACCAAAAGAGTTGAAGAAAAATAAAGAAGCTACTGTCTATAAACTATTTTTCTCTCCCTTGTTACAAATGAGAAGCCCACAGCTGGTGCAAAGGACCAGCAACATTTTCAAACTATGCGTTCTGGTCAGTTCATTAAAAAAATCCACTACCAGTTACGTTAGAATTTTATCTAGAAACAGCCAGATGAAGATAATAAGCAGGTAGTGTAGTGTCCCCATCCTCGCGATTATTTTCAAAATATACAGATAAAACAGTAAAGAATTCACCAAAATGTGCACAATCAAATTCTCACCCACTTCAAACAGGTTTTTCTGAAAGAATAGTCCAAACACTTAGATGACTGACCCTGCTCCGTATATGCACTTCAATTTTAAAAAATTCTTTCAGTCAAATCAAATCTAAGACATTCTATTAATTCCAACTTCAAAATGACAAGGATGTGTTATCATCTTGGTAGAATAATACTGCTTAATGAGGTGCATCAGGTTTTCAGATCCTATCCAGATGCACTTTCACTAAATGATTATTCAGATTCCTTCATGCCATTAGACCTATCAGGGGCTTTAATCTAACATCAGGTGACTCACATTTGCTGGTACACCCCCAATAAATTCATGAATAGAACATTGACAAAAGAGATTTGTGAGCATGACCTGTTTACTCTCCCTGTATAAGTAGCAACATAATCAGATACCTTTCTTCCTACCAGCGCAAACATTAATCGTCCTTCTATGTGGAAAATGAATGTTATTATAGCAGACAAAGCACGATAAATGGGTTCAAAACATAGGAACTCTTTTAAGTTAGTATTTCTATCTAGTGCTATTGGGCTTCATACAAATAGAAGAGGAAGAAGGCTGAGTAGGGAACCCAAGGGTGTGGCCTAGTGCAGAGGCGGAGTTAGCTTGTAATGTGTGGGTTCGGCCGAACCCAGACACCTTTGCATAAAGGTTATATTTATACTACGAAATTCATTTAATATGTATAAATATTTAATTGCGAATCCAATAACTAAGACGAGTTATGGGTTCTGTGGCAAAATCAGAACCCATAAATTTCAAATTCTGGCTTCGCCTCTGGCATAGTGGTCAATAAAGTGGGTCGAGAACCATGAGGTCTCAGATTCAAATCCTATTGGAGGCAAAAACACTAAATAATTTCTTCCCATCTGTCCAAGCTTTGGTGAACAGAGTCACCCGATATTGTGCTGGTGGAAGGCATCAGGTATCCTAAGGGATTAGTCGAAGTGCATGCAAGCTGACTCGACACTATGGTTATAAGAAGAAAAGAAAAAAGGCTGACTAGGAATTCCCCCTGAAGGGAGTAGTATATAGAATTTCTCAGATTCCTTGAAGAATTAAACAGCTGCATGAAGTTTTATTTCTTCAACCAGAAAACTCTATATGACTCTAGAAAGCAACAAGACTTGGAAAGCTAACACCAGGTGAATCATCAAATTACAAAGAGAATGATTTATCAGTCCACACATGCAAACCTTGAAAGGTCGGCGAAATGGGAATAGTGAAACATCCATGATGATAAGAGAAGTATCCGTTTGGTTCTATTACATAGTTTGTCCATTTTTTACTGACAAATTCTGGCTGTAACAGTAAGTATGAGTATATTAATCCAGGTCTTCAGCTTGACACACTCACAAACGCGCACACACACTCACTCACAGATACAACAACAACAGCTATGCGTCAGTCCCAAACAAGTTGGGTCAGCTCTATGAATCCTTACCTTTTCATTTAAGCTCAACTCATACTAATCCAGTTCTTCAAGCAAATAAGATGCGCTTTCCTTTCAGTATTTTTTTCAGAATAGAAAGCAAATTCGCAAAACTCTTTTTGATCATTGAGTGTGCACGAAGGGAAAGAATCTGAACGGTCATATATACACTTACATTCTTAGGAGATTTGATTGAACAGAGAGGAAGATGGGCTATCATCTCCTGATAGGCGCATTCATCTTTCTCGGTCAACTGAACAATGCCGTCAAGCACTAGAACTTTCCCATATGATGCAGACTGCAAGAATGGATACAGAATTAAGGCAGATGCATAAAATAGCTTGAAAGAAATTATATAACTAAAATTTAAAGGACAAAACTAGAATCTAGAGTTGAATATGCTGAACCTCAAAAACCAAGACTTCCTGGAATTCTGACTTTCCCTTGAATAAAGTCTTCTCTACTTTCAGAGAATGTGCTTCCCCTGTGTAAAGACGCCGTCATACAACAATTATGATCAGTATGAGCCATATAACACTTGGAAAAAGTAGTAAACCTTTACACATTGACTTGGGTTCAACCATGACAAAATTCCGAGGCCATGAGAGTTCAGGAATTTGTTACTAAGGCTCATATGCTATCGTACTTCTACTTGAAGCATCATTTATGCTACGTTAACAAACTGAATGGAATTACTTGACTCAGCGAAACAAGCACACAAGCCCAGCCAGTGACACTTAGATTTGACAATTTCGGTTGCAGTAGGACACGATATCACCTCCTAAATATAGTATAACCAACTAATGCAGCTGTATCTGACAGCAGCCCTTCTGCTTACAGGACGAAACAAGAAGCCCTCTCACTGTCCCAATCAAATAAAAGCATCATATTTTTGGACACACAACTGAGTATGCTAAATCACTAACATCATCTAAAGCATCAACAAGTTTAATGAATGATTTCGTGTTTTCATCCAACTTTCTGGAAACTACTTCAACTTTTTCGCTTAACACTTCTAACAGAATATGCAAGTTAAAAATAACTTCTAGTTACTGAGCACCGTCCTGGACAAATTGTCCCCCATAAAATAAGATAAGAGGCAAATTAGGGGAAGGGGTGAGGACAAGAAAAAGAAACATTATTATATTAACCAATTAAATAATAAAAAGAGAAGGCCAGCGAATTCTATTATGTGTACCAAGCACTACAAGCAAAGAAAAAAAATGTTCTTTTCTCAAGGAAGATCAGCAATTATTAACAGCAAGAAAGAAATAACAACAAAGCAAAAGATAACCTGGCCACATTGGATTATTGAAATACAACACCCTCTCCTTTTCATCTGTAACAAACAGCACGAGAAGAACAACTATGTCAAATAATTGTAAAAAAAATCGATTAAACGAAGGAGATGAACAAAATAATTTTGATAATGACCAGAGGATGGCCGCTGAGGTTGAGAAAACCATCCGGAAACGACAGTGGAGTGGCAATTGGCTTCAAGTTCAGGGTCATACACCCTAGCCTTTAAGCAACAATTGGGAACAACAACAGCCTTATATGATCCATTGGCATGAGCATTTTCACTCTCCTTCCCATCCATAGTCTTCAGGTTGTCCAAACCTCTTCCTGCGTCGTGCTCCATAAATAATTATCTTATTAGGATCCAGTCTACAACTACCAGAGAGTATCCTGCATCAGAAAAATATGATAACAGTCAATGATCACAGAAAAAAATGAACGAACGAAAATGAATTAAAGGACAGAACAAAAATTCAGGAATAAAGATGATATCACAATTTGCAGAAACAGATTGAACTTCTCTTTTACTGGATATAGACATTCTAAATTAGTAGGTATAGCAGAGGTTATCCAGGATTTCAACTTTATGGGCTCGGGATGCCACTGAACTCACCAACCATTTGAGTCACTGGGTTCAAAATTTACCATTTGTACATAAATAAGTAGACATCTTAACAGAGACAGGATACACAATTTAAGTTTTATGGGTTCAAATTGTTAGATTCTTAGCATTCAACCCTTTATATATGTAAAATTATGGGCTATATCTACTATTTGTTGCAACTTTAGTGGATTTTTACACATAAGACTTAGGAAGTACTAGGTTGAGATGAACCCGGTACTGCAAGGCTACATCCCCTATGCTTTCTTAACACATATACAACGTTTGAGCCAAACTAGTGAGTTCAGCCAAACTCCTAGCTTCTATTGTGCATCCACCCCATAGTTATAAAGCATTACAGTACAATTGAAAAGAAATTGTACCAAATGAAAGCATACAGAGGATTCATACAACTAAAGCTCAACAGTTTGGCATTGAGGCCTAATTGATAGATTAATTAACAAAAGAAATAGTCGAAAAGATGAGAAGAGTGCTCACCTTAGGCAAGGACGGAACTCAATAGAAAGATTGAAATAACCGAAGAGCTGCTCGAACTATTACTAAGTTAGCAATCTCTGAAAGATACTCAGTATTCAAAACGCTGGTAGCTGCAAAAAAAAAATGAGGAAAACCGAAAAGGAAAAAGTGGAATGAATAGTTTAAAGTGAAAAAGCAAATGGAACCCAAATCAAAGTACTTAAAAAACTTTCCAACTGGGAATCAGAATTTAAAGTAAAAAACTGTCCACCAACCTAACCTAATGTGAAAACGTGTAAGAGACTCCATCTTTAAAGAAACATAATAAAAGCAGCGTTGGCTTTACGCAAAACTAAATTTTTAGCTAAATTTTCAAAAGGAAACACTGGATTTTATTCCTTTCAAAAACCAATAAGTTAGGGTAGAACGAAATTACCAAAAACAGTAGCTGGAATAGAGACTTCTAGATTTTCTCAAACCTAACACACACAATATAACTGATGGTATAAATACAGAAGAAATAACGAAGAACGTACCTGAAACGGCTGTCTTTCAAGTGTCAGTTGATCGCAAAAAAACCAATGCAATCGCCTTGTTTAATGCGAGTCAACAATTCGATGAGCGGGAAAAAGGAATGCGAGATACAGAAAAAAATAGTAAATTAAAAAATTTTCTGGGTTTGAGTCTTCTCTCTCCCCTCGTTTTATACAGGAAAAAGGTTTTGCTTTGGACGAATCAATGGCGTTAACGCTTCCAAATTAGGTTTTTATACCCACGTTGATGATTACGTATTTTCCTATACTATATATCGTACTACTAAACTCACCAGTTTTGTGAGAGTGAAAATCGAAATTTCTCGAATTTTACCCAATAAGTTGAATAAATTGCGGAGGGGTCCGCGGACGGTGCACGATTTCTATGATTACAAATTCTCTTTCCTATCTCTATTTTTGTTATAAAAATATTCACAAACCATCATTTTGCACGAGAATGTAGCAATAATATTCAATTATTGCAAACGTGTCAAAAGAAAAAGCAATTTATTTTAAGAAATATACAAAGTAAAAATTGTAATAATTAAAATGAGTAGATACGAAAATCTGAGGAATTAAAGAACTTTCCACATACTTCGACAAAATAATTAAAAACTTACTTAATGATTGTGTACGTGATTAGTTAGAAATGGAGTAATGATCTTTCAATATTTTTTGCACTTCAAATAACAAGTACTTACCATCTACTAATTATACAGATAACTTTTGTATACGGTCAAAATCATGCGCCCCGATTTTGTAGGCTCGAAGGGTCGTGCCGAGAACAAGTTCGATATGGACCGAGCTCGAGCCCGAAGGCACAATACGAAGCTCGAAGATCAAAGTGCTCGATGAATACTTGGGCCGAGTATGATCAACCTCGGATAATACCGTTATAATTTTGTAGTAGAAAGAGCGAGATTCTTGTGGTGACCATAAAATCACGGAGTAAATTCCGGAACGGATTTGTATTAGGCGGTTAGACAACTGTATAATAAGATTCCTTACTACAATTGGAATTGTCCCTTATTTAGGATCCCCTACTATATAAAGGGGACCCCAATCATTTGTAACGGATCATTAATCATTGGCAAAATAATATACACTTTTACTTTCTTGCTCATTATTCATCACAATTGTCTTTTAACTTTATTGTCCTTACTTTACTGTTCTTATTGACCTACCTCGAGGCCATCATAGCTCGAGGTCAAGACTCGCTTAAGCATTAATTTGATTCAACTTGCTTCTTTAATTTATACGTTTGGTTTCTTGGTTATTAGTTAGTATTGGACTAAATCACGTATCTTTAAGACCACAAAACAAGTTTAATTGTTACTCGGATTTTAGGGTAAATAGTTTGGCGCCTACCGTGGGGGTTAAAGATAAAAGTGATTATTTCAGTACTGATTCTGATAACATACGTTATTTACACTTATCTTGTCAAGAATTTTTGTTTTCAGGTTAAAACATGTCAAACTCACAAAACGCACCCGTACATGGAGATGATGGTTTTGGATTTCACGGGGAAAATAACAATGTAGTTGCTCCGGGTGCCGGTGTACCACCAATTAACCTTGGGGAAGTGCCGATTGTAGAACCAGTCGACGTCAGCTCACACATTGCTTTGAATTCCGGCTTAGGCGTAGACCCCGAAGGTAGTGTAGTAGGAAAGTCCGATCCAGTGGCCAAGGAACACAGGGTATAGGAGATGGGGGAGTTAGCCTCCAAGTAATATTCGAGAAGCTACAAGCTCAACAGGTTGCTATCGCTCAGCTTCAAAGTCAGCATAAAATTCCAAATGTGGTCGAACTAGGAATTACTCGTTGAACTAAGCCGGTGCCAGAAAGATCGAACGATAATGGCTCGGGGACTGATCCCACGATTAGAGGATGCTCGAGGAACTCACCAAAAGAATCGAGTCGGGGGAGAAAAAGATTGAGGATAATGACAAAAAAGTGGAGACGTATAACTCCCATGTTAATCAAATACCGGGGGAACCCCCAGTCTTGAAAGGTTTGGATGCCAAGAAATTCATACAAAAGCCATTCCCTCTGAATGCGGCTTCGAAGCCCATTCCCAAAAAGTTTTGTATGCCAGATATACCTAAGTACAACGGGACGAGTGATCCTAATGAACACATCACCTCGTACATACACGGGATTAAAGGAAATGACTTAAATGATGATGAGATCGAGTCGGTTTTGTTCAAAAAATTTGGAGAAACCTTGTCAAAAGGAGCAATAATTTGGTATCACAACTTGTCATCGAATTCCATTGATTCATTCGCTATGTTAGCAGACGCCTTCGTAAAGGCACACGTCAGGGCTATAAAGGTTGCGACAAGGAAATCGGGCATTTTCAAGATAAGGCAGAGGGGTGATGAAATGCTAAGGGAGTTCGTATCCCGATTTCGAATGGAGCGAATGGAATTACCACTGGTCTCAGATGATTGGGCCGTGCAAGCTTTTACTCAGGGGTAGAACGAGCGAAGTTCGATCGCGCCACAACATTTGAAGTAAAATTCGATCGAGTATCCAGCTGTAACTTGGGCAGATATGCATAATCGTTACCAATCGAAGATCAGGGTCGAGGACGACCGGCTGGGAGACCCCTCGGGTTCAGTTCATCCAAATAGATTAGCAGTTAAGGCCTCGGAGATACCGACAAGGAACCAAGATCAAATAGCGCACGGTATCAGCCATATGTCGCAGATCGAAGAAATAACGGTTCGGGGCGTAATCCTCCTCGGAATGATAGAAGAAAAGATCGAAGGCAAAATTCTTGGGGACTTATGAGTAAGAGTGGTTTTGATAAACATACCGATCCCGCAAAAACACCTCGGTTATCGGAGTATAATTTAAGTGTCGATGCATCGAGGATCGTATCAGCTATCGGAAGGATCAAAGACACCAGGTGGCCCAAACCTATACAAACCGATCCTTCTCAAAGAAATCCGAACTTGATGTGTAAATATCATGGCACACATGGCCATAGGGCTAAAGACTGCAGACAGCTGAGGGAGAAGGTAGCTCGATTGTTCAACAAGGGTCATCTTCGAGAGTTTCTCAGTGATCGAGCTAAAAATCACTTCTAAGAGAGAGACGCCAACAGGAAGAATGATCAGGAAGAACCACATCATATAATTCATATGATCGTTGGCAGGATCTATGTTCCACAAGGGCCTATATTCAAATGTACCAAGGTATCGATCACTAGAGAAAATCGGACTCGGAGTTATGTGCCCGAGGGCATCCTATCATTCAATGACGAGGAACCGGAAGGCATTTCTCAGCCGCACAATGACGCCCTGGTAATTTCTATTTTGTTAAATAAAATTCAAGTTAAACGTATTCTAGTGGATCCAGGTAGATCAGCAAACATAATCAGATCAAGGGTCGTAGAGCAGCTCGGCCTACAAGACCAAATTGTACATGTATCTCAGGTCCTAAACGGCTTCAGCATGGCAAGTGAAATAACGAAGGGGGAGATAATCCTACTAGTAAACGTGGTCGGCACCATCCAAGATACAAAATTCCATGTCATTGAAGGAGACATGAGATATAATGCACTACTCGGGAGGCCATGGATCCACAACATGAGGGCAGTATCGTCGACCCTTCACCATATGATGAAATTCCCAATAGTGGATGGTGTGAACACAATTTACGGGGAACAACACACTGCAAAGGAAATGTTTGCAGTCGATGAGTTGACACCGATACCAGTGCCTTCGACCTCGGAAAAATCGAGCACCAAAGATAAGCAAACGGGCAAATAGCAATCATCGTCCCCAGCCTCGACCGAATCGGAGAAACAAGTAATCGAAGAAGAAGAAGAAGAAGAAGAAGAGGATTTCCTTACTCCTCGAACTTTTGTTGTTCCCGAAGAGTCAAATGCAACCAAGTCAACGGTCGAGGAGCTGGAACAGGTCATACTAATCGAGTGTATGCCTGAGAGAAAGGTATATCTGGGAACGGGGTTAACCCCCAAACTCAGGAAAAAACTCATTCAATTTCTTATCTATAAACATGGATTGTTTTCCTTGGTCCCATTTAGACATGACAGGGATCCCACCAAAAATAACAACACACTGGCTAAGCCTTGACCCCAGGTTCAAACCAGTAAAACAAAAAAGAAGGCCCTAGTCCGAGGTGAAGCATGCATTCATAAAGACTCCTTTCCACTGCCTAACATCGACCACATGATCGATGACATGCCCGACGACGAGATCCTTACCTTTCTCGAAGCCTACTCCGGGTACAATCAAATTTAGATGAACCTGGTGGACCAGGAGAAGACCTCGTTTATCACTAAGTTCGGAACATATTGTTACAATGTAATGCCCTTCAAGCTAAAAAATATTGAAGCTACATACCGACACCTAGATAATAAAATGTTCGAGGAACATATAGGTAAATCAATGGAAGTTTACATTGACGATATGTTGGTTAAGTCCTAGCGCACAGAGGACCATTTAACTCATTTGCAGGAAACATTCAAAATCTTGAGGAAGTACAACATGAAGCTTAACCCAGAAAAATGTGCCTTCAGGGTTGATTCGGGCAAGTTCCTCGGCTTTATGGTATCAAATCGGTGAATCGAAATCAACCCCGACAAGATCAAGGCCATCAAAGATATCACTATCGTAGATAGTGTGAAAGCCGTACAAAGGCTAACAGGACGGATAGCCTCTGTAGGCCGATTCATTTCGAGGACATCAGATCGAAGTCATAAGTTCTTTTCCTTACTCAAAAAGAAAAATGATTTCGCATGGACCCCAGAATGCCAGCAAGCATTAGAGGAATTGAAGCGATACTTATTGATCTCACCTCTGCTTCACACTCCGAAGGTAGATGAAAAGCTTTACTTATAATTGGTAGTATCCAATATAGCGGTAAGTGGGGTACTAGTTCGAGAAGAGCAAGGTACGCAGTTCCCTGTCTATTACGTAAGTCAGACTTTAAGAGATGTTGAAACTAGATATCCACACTTAGAAAATTAGAACTTGCATTAATAAGCACATCTAGAAAACTAAAGCCATATTTTCAGCGTCACCCAATATGTGTGTTAACCACTTACCCTCTCTAAAATGTTTTGCATAATCCCGAGTTATCAGGCCGGTTGACTAAATGGGCTGTCGAACTTGGCGAGTACGATATCGAATATCAACCCTGAACGGACATCAAGTCTCACATCCTATCTGACTTCGTGGCCGATATTACACAAACCCTCATACCCAAAGTGGAGAAAGAACTTCTGCTAAAATCAGGTACATCATCAGGGGTATGGACCCTCTTCACGGACGGTGCCTCAAATGTGAAAGGGTCCGGGTTTGGCATCGCTT